ATCAGGAGCCTTGTATTAAATTTTTACACTTTTTGGCCCAACAGATAAAACTTTATTGATATTTATAGAAAAAAAAACTAAAAAAAATTGAAAACTGAAAATGTCCATAAACAGCTCAAAAAGAGTCAAAATATTTTCAAAGTTGTATGGTGTATAGAAAATGCTAATTTAAACATTCAGTGAAATTTTCATGTATCTACAGTTGTTCGTTTTTGAATTGCAACAAAATAAGGAAATCGCTACATGAGTAATCGAGTGAAAATCCAATGTTGTAAAAATTTGAATTTCAAACGCTCATAAAAATTTAATTTGACTGTCCGGTAGAGATTTTTTTATTGATAAAGGTAGATAATCTTATAAGGAATCTTGTGTTTCATTTTCAAATCTTAGATTTAAAAAGAAAAATTTTTACGAATTCTTAACTCAAAATAATTTGCTAATTTTCGTGATTTTTCCATATTTTGTCAATTTTTGAACTTTAAATGCTTATAAAAAAAATTGTGACTAAGGATTTTTAATATTTTTCATCTGCCTTTGAAACAATATATTAGGAGCCTTCTATTAAATTTTCAAGCTTTCGCAACCAACAAATAAAATTTTATTGATATTTCTAAAAAAAAAACTAAAAAAAAATGAAAAATGAAAATGTCCCTAAACAGTTCAAAATAAATCAAAATATTTTGAAAATGTTATCGTGTATAGAAAATGCAAATATAAACAACCAGTGAAAATTTCATGTATCTACGGTCATTTGTTTTAAAGTTACACCAAAAACCAAATTCGATTTTTTGGAAAATCGATTTTGCGTAAAAATTCCCGTTTTTCCTTAATTTTTATGTTGTTTTTCCCGGCGCTTGTGAAAACTACTGCAAAATGTTTACTTTTGACCCCCCAAAGTACCAACTAGATTCACTTTCCTATCAGAAAAGGTACTATTGAAGAAAATCGAAGCACTTTTACTGTCCCAAAACGTGATGACAGACACAAAAAAAAATAAAAAAAAAAATAAAAAAAAAAATAAAAAAACACACATCATTGTAAAATCAATACATTCATCGTTTCACTCAGAATCTAAAATAATATATACTATTATGTCAGGAAATTCCTAAAAAGAGATTGTTTTAAAAACAATTTTGTCGATTAAAATTAATGTACCTACTCCGAAAAATTATTGATAACTATTTTAAAAATTGTACAAAATAAACTCACGAATACACGATTTAATTAAACTTTTTACTATCGAAATTTGATTAAAATTTTATTTACAAATTGGTTACTTATTTTGAATTTTCCCAAAAACAATTTAATACAATTTTAAATTTTTTAGCATACAAAATTAACCAAATAAAAAAATAAATATAAAGAAAATGAATTGATATATTGTTTATCCCGGTACTTATATGGTCTCCCTCTCCCCCGTCATCCTCCTTTGTTATTCAGTATTCACCAAAAATGTCGAAACTATATTTGTTGATAGAAAATCAGCTTTTGTTTGCTGGATTTATAGACTAAATAGAGTAAACAATAATAATAATGTATAAATAGTAAATACTGGAATATAATATTATATTTAACGTGTTTTCGAAGAAAATCACGACTTGAGTTGTCAGAAAAGTCATTATAAAACAGTCGTTTCTACCTTGAATAATGTCCATTGTGATTGTGAATATTATTGTGTGTGTATATTGGTCACATTATAATATTATATTACCTATATTACAAATTACAATATAGACGTATTGGTATTATATATTATTCATCGACGTCGCCGTAATCGTGTTTGATATTACACATTGCATTAGATATTCCATCCACGTGAAACACGAGTACCTGTATATTATTATATATTACTACACACACACACACACGCATCAAACACCGTCTGACTATATTATAGTCGCATCAAGTCTTCACGTATGTACTATATAGTATAACATATACTTCTACTTGTACTAACTTTTATCCAAATTGCACTCCGCCAGTCCGCCAACAAATCGAAACGAAAGTAGTACGAGTCACTGTAGGTATTCGTGCTTTCCACTAGCATTTTCGATTGTAAAGTTCCGTCGTTTTACACACACACGGCACACGACATACTCACACACACACACACACACACTACACATTTCGACTCGACCATTATGTAAGTTACATTGTATTGGATTTTGGAATTTTTAACCGTACTATATATTTTAATATTACATTATAAAGTCAAACAATTTTACTGTAACTCCATGTGGACCGTCAGCTGTAAAATAAAACTACCAACCAATAACATTCACGTTTTAGTATCTATATATGTATAATGTATTATGTATATGACTGTATGTCTGTATGTGCTTGTATTTATATGTATATTATGTTCTTTTGTCAAAACAGTATGGTATGTGTCTTCAAAATTATAATTGTATTCTCAATTCTGTAGACAAGGGTGAATTTAGAAATAGATAGAGAGGTGAGCCTGCGGGCCTAAACACAAAGTATACTGTTATAGGTGTTATTAAAATAAATATTTATTTTTTTCTATGTAAATTAGCACAATACGTTTAAATGATAAGAGTAGTATATAACATGAAAGGTATGATTAAACTATTAAAGTAGTAATACCCATTATAGTGACTACCTAGTTGATTCGTTTTTAAATTGATTTTAGTCGATTCATTTAATTATTGTTTTTTTTTTTTTTTTTTAATATTTTTAGAAGCGTTAGATATTAAAGTTTTGTTAAAGGTCACGACACCACTGTCCACTTCCTTTTTAACCTGTGGTTAGGATTTCCTGGGAGTGTAAGCGTGTAAGAATAGAAAGATCTTGTATGAGAGGGTTAGGATGAGTTTGGAGTCGTTTATGGAAGCGTGTGTAGAAGATATTATATGGACTAGGTCAACGTTTTTGGAAAAAAAAAGAAACAATTAGGCTTTTGTAAATCAACCATCAATTTATTGAAAATACTTAAGCAATTTAATATTTATAATGAAGGTATTTGTATTTTAAGAACATTTTTGAAAGTGTTTCGCCAATCCCTGATTTAGTATTACACTCTTGTTCTTGTTTATGTTGTACAATGCATCAGCGTGTATAAAAATACCTATCGATATATTTTCAGATTTCTGGAAATCAATTTCACACTCCTATACTCGCTTCACGTTAATTAAGTTTGTAATTTGTACCAAATACAAATTATAATATTACTAACGGTGGGTCGGTGTACATAGCCAATAGCCGTATTAGTTATTATAAGTTATGAACAAAAAAAAAAAAAAAATAATGTTATCAATATTAATCTATATATTTTTCTTTATTATTTAATTTAAAACATAAATTTTTAACATAATAACTAATCTAAGACATTTTTTTTAACCGGAAGATTCAGGCAAACCATTGAGTAGAAACGCTGGTTGGAAATCAGGGAATGTCCATTGCCGGCTTATAGACTACTGCACGAAGGACGACGATAGGACATTTTTCGGCGGATTATCGGACCAGGACGCCAGCAACGACGGCCCGAAGTGCACTACAACGCTTGACCGACCGCGGTTCAGCCAGCAGTACTCTCGACGGAGCAAGAGGAGGATGCGCTGGTGCTCGAGAAACGCGAAATGGCTTCAAGAATTCCGGAGAGCATGTCATTGGGTAGTGGAAGCTCGTCGGTCAATCGTAGGTATATGTTGAAATTACAATTTTACGGAAAATCATTAACAATTTTGTTTTTTTCCACGATTTTTCGACATATTGTTGTATGGTCCATATAATAAGTTGTAACACTCAGCTTAGTTCATAAATACTCTTATTTCTATTTGTTAGTACTTACTTGTATTTGATTTGGGGCTGACAGAATTTCTGGCTTTTGCTGTGATGTATATGTTTTGTGGTCAAATCATATAGTGTTGGGCTTCTTGCGAAACTGCCAGTTGCCACGTCGCTTCCGTTAGTTACAAAAATTATGTTTATGTATCATTTATATTTTTAAACAAAATATTATCATGAACCTACGTAAATAAGATGCTAATATAAGGTGAAAATGTCAAGTATCCACGGATATTCGTTTTTGAATAACAGCAAAATATTAATAACCGAACGAGAAGAAAAGATAATAATATAAAGGTGAATATCAAATATCAAAAAAAAATTGAACTTCAAATGCTCATAAAAAATAAATTTAATTTTCCTGGTAAACTTTTTTTTTGTTAGATAGAAAAACAAAATCACATTTTTAAATCTTCAAAAAAGAACATTTTTTATGAATTTAAATCTCAAAATAATATACAAATTTTCTTGACTTTTATGATTTTTAAAAAAATATAATTGAAATAAACTATAAAGTACGTTCAGGTCACAAACATAATATTTGTATTTTACATACGTCTGTGGTTCAGGTATAAAAAACTTCATTAGGAATCTATGTATAATATACATTATCATTATTTTTTTTTTCTTATATGGCTAAGGAACACCCTAATGTATATAGTATAAATATAATGTTAGGAAAACAAATGTTGGGGCACCCTGACTAATATACTATTAATACTAATACATATAAATATTACCTAGGTACATATCGCACTGTGAGTACATTAGTGTAGTAACTCAAAAAATGACGATTTTGAGTTATACATGTTTTCTTATGGTAAAAATAGCATTCTTTGCAATGCACTAGTGTATTATGTCGTACTGGCAAAATTAAAAACGTTAAACAATATAATATGGTACAACATTAAAGGAAATAAATAAATTCAATCCATGCAGTAGTGTATTATTTTGAGTTATTACTATAATGCACAAACGTATGTTCAAAAATACTGGTGCATTAGTGTATCATCTCAAAATAACATAATTGTTGATAATATTATTATAAAGAATTATAAATAGAACATGATAACAATATTGTATTATCTTAACAACAAATTATACATTCTGTAATATTAATTTATTACTACACCTTGTTACTGTCATACTTTTTTATTAATTATTACATGGCGAGTTTGTTTTAATTAATAATAATGGCGTTTCAATCTCGAACACAACGAATGCTTTCTTTAGCAAAATCAAGCAAAACTATCTATCCTCAGCAACTAATTTCAGTCTCGATGGTAAGTCACAAATTTTTAACTACTGGTCATACTCAAATGCCAGTTGATTCTATGCACAGTCGTATTGAGATACAAAAGCAACGTGCATTGAAAAGTGGTCCAGTGTATATTCCAGCACATTGGGTTTCAATAATTAAATTGGCTAAAAAAAAATGGAAAACCGTATACCACAACTCGAATGAATACAAAAGATTTCTTCGACCTATCTACTTTATGTAATGAACTTGGAACAAATTTTAATGTTAATGAGCAAGGAGAAAAATTTTTGATGGGTGACATTGTAGAAGTGAATGTTAAAAAAGAAAAACCATTTATTGTACATTATAAGACAGATTTTTCCCAACCTGATTATAAAACAGTTGATATACGCAGTTACAGTAAACGGAATAAATCTTACCCTGGAAAAAGTACCATAATTATGAAACAAGCTTATACAGAACCACCAAAAATATCAATTGCAAAAAAACAAGATTTACTTTCTTTATGTCATTCCAACTTAATTCCAGAGCAGTATCATGAGTTTTATGACAAATTATCTACTGAAAATAAAGAAAGTACCAGACCAAAGTCAAGTAGTCAAATCAAATCAAACGTCAAGAAAGTTGCTCCAGCAAAAAAAAAATACTACAAAAAACACTATAAAAAAAAAATTATTTTAAGGTTTTTAAATTTTTATTTAATAAGTATTTCACTAAGTATAATAATCATAAATGTTTGATTTTTTATAATTTTAATTAAAAGGACTTCATTTAAAATACAACTGAGTTTTTTTGTTAATGTTTTTAGTTACTAAGTTATATTCTACATTCTAATAGGCATTTTAAAGTAAATATTAAAATGCAATACCTAGTGTAGTAACTAAAAAAAAATTATTTAATTGATAAAAAACATTGTTTAATAGTATTTAAAAACAGTAAATTAGTTTAAAACACTTAATATAATTAATAATATTATATAATATCAAAGTTTCAAACATTTAAATAAAATACTTTTTCTTTTATCAGTGATTTAAGATATGAAAAACTTAAAAACTCGATTTTCTCAAAATCATGAATTTTTAGTTACTACACTAATGTACTCACAGTGCGATATTATAATATACGCCACTGTATGACGATATAATATTAAGGTTATAAATTACAATATTTTGTTACGATATTTTAATATTGAATTTTAATTAATATTTATTTTAATTTTAAAATGACATAAAGCTCGATCGAAAGCAATTCGCACATGAATAAAGTTTTGCAATTGACTTTTTCCAAATATTATAATAAGTAATTTGCGATGAACTATACTAAATTATAATATCTGCGGTAACCGTCACAAGTCGTTAGTTAACAATATGTAGCAACAAAAGTATAAGACGTGCGATTTTCGTATTACAAGTCAAGCGAATGAATAATTTTATTTTTATTTTTTAATATTGATCTCTAAAAAATATTAACATCGACAACAAAGGCTGTTAAATCAAGAAGGGAATTAGTGTGTTTAAATACAAAAATAAGTTATACAAATTAGGTAAAATATTATTTTTTGTATAATATAATTAATTTTATGAAACAAACAAAATTGATCAATATCATTTTTCGTGATTGGGTCCGAGTGCGGTGTCTAGGTTGTGAGATATCCTGAATGCATAATTTATTATGTATGGTAAAGCCCTATAACAGTCCTATACACTGCGGCTTTTGTGTTTGAGTCTTATATTTATTGGGTCGCACAGGAGGTCGCTGATGGTGGATAGTATAATTTATGCAATAAATCGACTCCGTCAATACTCAATACTGTCAAGGCAGCCGACTGAAACGTCTCCTCGCAGATTTATTCTTCGTGGCGAAAATGATGGCGGCGCACCCGTACACGACTCCGAGAATTACGAACGTACTGCTGTACACCAAAAACTGAAACACACGAGTCGGTTCCAGATATTATTTTATATTGCACTATACAACGATAATACCTGAGCAAGTTAATAGTTAAGTAAATTTGTTTAATTCGGACGTCGTTACTACTCGTTACTTGTTATCAACTCTTTAAATTTAAAAGCCAGTGTAAGTACCTACCTATAATATGCGGCACTCACTTAAAATAAATGACTTGAATAAATCGTTTTACTCAATTGTTCTCGTCGTATAACACACATAATATTTACCTACGTCATATTATATTTAATATTTATATTATTTTGAATCTAGTATTATATTATTAGTGGTAGATATTTTATTTATAATTTGAATATATATTTTAAGACTTAATCACATAATTATTTTTATAAGGTTCTATTAAATTCCGCAACTGGGAAGTAGTTTTTGCGAAACATTTAATAATAACTCATAATAAAGTAATGGATTAATGTGTTCTTCAACTTTACAATTTGTTTAAAAGAATGTTTGTACTGACTTTGATTTTAATATAATGGTGGTACACTGGTACCTGCAGCTTTACTATTGTATAACATTGTACTCATTGTAGGTCGATGGCAGGTCAACGGGCCTTTACCATTTTCGGTCGCTTTTATGCGCGTAGGATTGAACATAAAACTATAAAAGTTTAAGTAATAAATTACAGTGCTTTCCGCGATGTAGTATTAATATTGTACATTTACATTGTACACAATACATAATACTACATACATTATTAACTGGTATGATTAAATAATAATTCTAACTCATATGGTATATTATTATGGTATTCAATATTCAAGAGTAATATATTTTTATTAGAAATATTTGTCACATCAACCACACTGTAATCACTAACTATCACGACGAAAGTTAACGTTTTATACAGAGGTCACTGAAACAGCACACCGAAATCAAAATATTGGTTAGTACTCAATCAGTAATAGCTTATAAGTTATAATCAACAATTTAAATTTTGAAACCCAAGTTAGAAGTCTTACCAAGTCTTTCATTTTGATAGGCTGACAGACTTTCATACGCAAATGTTCGGTAGCTGAAGCTCCACCCGAATAGCAGTGGGTTGTTATGGAATAATATATTGAAAAGATCTCAGTGAACTGTCAACTGATAGCATTATAAGACAACTTTGGACTGTATTATTACCATTAGCTTTATTTATTCATGGCTCGTGTAAAATTTATCGAAAAAAAAAATAAAGATGAATCGCATTTCATATTTGATTATTTATTTTTCAATATTTGAGCTGTTTCATAGTCTTTTTACATCAAGGACGTCACACGTCCTGTGTACATCAGTCCGCTTTCATAATACACGAGCATTATATTATACCTACAGTGATTTTATGTACGTATACCTAACCTATGTGTATGATGCGTGTGTATAATATTATATATGGATAAAAAACGCCAATATCAATATCATCTCACCCGGACTGGCAGGGACGTTCCAATGCGTATCATTAGTGACGACAAGCAAGTGGATAAAACGATGCCCAAGAAAGCATTGAATCCCAGTACTGAGGTATAGAAATCGTGTTTTAGTTGTTTGCCGATTTGTGACCTGAAACGAAAAGCAGGTAACACCGTATAAAATAAAATTAATAATTATAGTGATAAATGATTTTTTTTTTTTCATGGTATAGCTTCAACTGCTAAGGTTATTAGCTTGCAACAAAAAATGAGGTATTTAGTTACATATAAATGATACAATAGTTTCTTAAATTAGTTTTTTGGTTACATATAAATATACTGTCTCCTTAAATTAGGTTGTACATATCAATTTGTTTAAGAAACGCTATTATTTTGATGGTGTTGACATGGATTGGGTTGAGGGCTTCGAAGATGTTTGTCTTGTATTATTCAAGTCTTTTCCTGGTATCTATATGGTTACGACATTGGACAAGGAGGTGCTTAAAGGTGGGTTTCTACTAGATACGTGTACTTGTAAGTGCATAAAAATACTTTTCTGTGATTGGTTGGTATACATGGTAAGCTTTTGGTATACCAGAGTGTTATACGTTCTTACCAAAGGCTTGACCATGATACCATGAAGTTGAATCCAGTTAAACTTTTCACGTGCACACGGCTCTATATTGATAACAATTTTGATAACATAAGAATATACGAGGTAACTAATATGTTACCAATGCTAACCGATCAACCGATGGGAAACGTTTGTGAGACCGTTCATAGCGAACGTATCCGGTCAATACATGCACGTAAACTTACACGTATGTAGTGGAAACACACATTGACTGTGAGAGGTTCTACACAGCTGGTTTCACACATTGAAGGTTCTTCTCTGCACATAAGATGTAAATCTTTGAGTGACCAATGCGTAGTCTGTTGATTACTACTTTATCTTTACGATTTGATGTAACAGGTTTGGGCCAGTATACAGTAGTATTTTCCATTTCTGATAAATGATTGTAGGTACATAATATACGATATACCTAATTGTGTTTTATTTTATTGTTTCAGCATCGACTACACGGTTATTAGCTTACAATTTATAGTTAAAGTTTAGATTATTTTATACATAGAGAAGTGCTTGCATAGTACTGAAATTATATTGAATTGTAGTGTTGTACAATAAAAATTTTTTTTTAAAGTAAGAATTTTTTTTGTGTTAGCTTCATAAAGGTTATCTGGGATTTGACACTCTTGTCTGGCCTCTTTAAAATTTTGACAAAGGCACGCTTGTATTATTGTATACATTGATTGTACTAATAAATATATAATAGGTACACAAAATCAAATTATACCTATTTAAAGCTATAAGTACTTGAAATCCCAGCATAATATATCAATAACACTCAAAAGCATAAAACAACTATCGTCGATTTATAAAAACTGTTATTGAATTTTAGTTTTCGTGGCTTTAGATACTATACTATTATGCTAGTGTGATATGTCTTTGCAGGTTTTTAATAGGTAAGTAGGTATGTAAAAATATTCAATAACGAGTATGTAACACTTCAAGAAGGTGTGACCTTTCACAGGATACCCATGAATGGCCGTAATGTATTGTTATATATTATAAAATGTTTTATTATACATAATGATAATCTTATATACTCACATGGCTATGACGAAGATGGATTGCACTATTGTGTCGAGGCAGATGTACATCATGTACACGACAAGGATGTTTTTCGAACAGTAGCCTAGGGACAGGAGCAATGCGATCACCAGAGAAATGAAAGCCAAGAACGAGTATCCGTGTTCATTCCAGTTCACGTTCACCTTGCCGATCTGATAAGTACTAATCGCGGCTATATAAAGGTACGTAATAATATATAGATATCGTGTCATAAAAATATTTTTTTTTTAGGCACAATCTTTAATATGGGCAAACGTATAAGTTTCTGCCATGTCAAGATTTGAGAGGTGTGGGGGTTTTTTTCCCTAGACAGTTTACTGTCAAGATAGAGAAAGATATGACACTTTCGATCGGAACCCGGCTCCGAACTTACGACGGTGCACATTGCAGAATGGTTAGGTCCCCGTCGACATATTTTAGTATATAACACGAGAAAACATAGTAACAAATAGTAGAATACTGTATATGTATGTAATATAAAAAATACAAATGAGTAAAAAAAAAACAGAATAAAATAAATGTATAGGGTGGTGAATTTATTCGCCAAAGGTCTATAACAAGTTGGTTTATTACCATGTTATACCATGTTGTCTCCGGGAAAACCTTTCAAATCTTTTAAAATTATTTCTGGATGTTTATCAGACATTTTGATGGACTTTATATCTATCTAAGATTTTCGTATTGTACCTGACTATACCAGTAACTCCAGTAGCATTACTTATATATGAAGTGTAACTCTTTGAGGTAAGACTATCATTTTAAATACAAAATTAAGTTTTATTCAGTTTGTGGATATATTTTACAACCGTCAATTATTACATATATTATATAGGTGTATATGTATTATTATTAGTGCACGATTTGTATACAAACATTTTTTATTGTCATCCACGCAGCAATTATAATATCACTCCACCACTCAATTGAGCGGAAGACAAACTAGCGATGAGCTGCCTATATTTGTCACCGACCGGACACACACACAATTATAACTAATTTGAATACTAGTACATTTTCCATAATATATTATGTGTATAACGTTGATATTTATTATTCTCGTCGTTCGACCGTGAATGTGACTCAATTTCCGGGTTGCTTAAACAATCACTAAATATTTAATGAATCCATTGTGAGCTAATGGTCCCTTAAACATTAGCGGTCCCTTTGCAATTTATGCAATAAATAAATAAACACAATAAATAATTGTGCATAGCACAGTGGCTCTAGTATGACGAATAATACCTGTGCTATATTTGTGTATATGTTTAACAGTTGGTATACCTCATCTACTCCTACGGACACCGGGACACGACTCTATAATAGTCAAGTTGTATTACAAATTATAATATCATTATTTCTGCTTGAACAGTCAGGCTATTTATTCATTTATTATTGTAACATTTCGCAAGTGTTTAAACTGTATATTTATACACAAGTGCCAATTAATTATATTCAGTTAATATGTCTGTGTTTTGTGAAGAATTTGTTTATATTTTGAACAGTAACTGTTTTTGTACGAAGACTGCACGCCAACTTTATTGTGAGTACCTACCTACCAATAATATCAGTTACCCGATTGAATGCATTTTATATTACAATGTATAAACTCAATTTTTTTTTAATGGATTTTTTTTCTGTACATATAATATAATATACTTTTATAGTTTATATTAAGTAGCATTAATGAATAAGAGAATAATTATTATAATTGTGCGCTTTTGTATGGACCGGTCAGTGATAAAATATATAGGTCACTCACCGCTGGATCTTATCTTCAGCTCCATTATTGACAGATAAGGCATTGATAGTAACATCTTACGGAGTGGATGACAATATTATAAATCCAATCGTTTAGGTACAGATAATAATAAAAATACGTACATGTGCAAATTAATTAATAATACTTTCCACTGTTTGACAAACTGATTAAAATAACACACTAATACAATATCTATATAATATAATTTATATATTTAAAATAATAGTTTTACCTCAAAGTTTCACACACTGTCGTTCAGCTTGAGTGATTGGTACTCTACAAAAATCTTAAATTTAGTTCGAATTTGTATGATAGGTTATCAAAACTTCTATGACTTCAGGGAATATTATTAAAAAATTGTATCAGAAAACATAATATTATAAGCCCACTTTTTACAATGATCATTGGTAATCAATGAACCCATCACTATATTAATTTTATTTTTACGTATTTTTTTTTTGTACCTATACTATATATTATATTTATATATTTATAGTATATAGATAATACATAGTTTTTAGTAACAAATGCAGAGAATCTGTACCGGAAGTATTTTTATAATATTCGAACTGTTCGTGTTTTCTGGTTGAACACGTTATATTTTAGATTCTGAGTGAAACGATTAATGTATTGATTTTACAATGATGTGTGTGTTTTTTTTTGTTTTTTTTATTTTTTTTTTTTTTTTTTATTTATTTTTTTTTGTGCCTGTGTACACGATAAGTAGTCGAAATAATGCTTCGATTTTCGACTTCAGTATCTTGTTCGATTGGAAAGTGAATATCGTTGGTGCATTGGGGAGGTCAAAATTTAAATTTCCCAGTAGTTTTCAACAGCGCCGGGAAAAACAACATAAAAATTAAGGCAAAACGGGAATTTTTACGCAAAATCGGTTTTCCAAAAAATCGATTTTGGTTTTTGGTGTTAATTTAAAACAAATAACCGTAGATACATGACATTTTCAGTGGTTGTTTATATTTGCATTTTCTATACACGATAACATTTTCAAAATATTTTGATTTATTTTGAACTGTTTAGGGACATTTTCAGTTTCCAATTTTATTAGTTTTTTTTTTTATGAATATCAATAAAAATTTATTTGTTGAGTAAAAATACTTGAAAATTTAATACAAGGCTCCTACTATATTGTTTCAAAGACAGATGAAAAATATTAAAAATCGTTAGTCACAGTTTTTTTTTTTAAACATTTAAAGTTCAAAAAATGACAAAATATAGAAAAATCACGAAAATTTGCAAATTATTTCGAGTTAGAAATTCATAAAAATTTTTCTTTTTAAATCTAAGATATGAAAATGTAATACAAGATTCCTTATAAGATTTCCTACATTTATCAAAAAAAAAAAATTCTATAAGAAAGTCAATTTAAATTTTTATGAGCGTTTGAAATTCAAATTTTTACAACATTGGATATTCACTCGATTTGTCATGTAGCGATTTTCTTATTTTGTTGTTATTCAAAAACGAATAACTATAGATACATGAAAATTTCACTGAATGTTCAGATTAGCATTTCCTATACACCGTACAATTTTGAAAATATTTTGACTCCTTTTGAGCTGTTAATGGACATTTTCAGTTTTCAATATTTTTAGTTTTTTTTTCTATAAATATCAATAAAGTTTTATCTGTTGGGCCAAAAAGTGTAAAAATTTAATACAAGGCTCCTGATATAGTGTTACAATATCAGTTGAAAAATATTAAAAATAAATAGGCACAATTTTTTTTTATAAGCATTCAAACATCGAATTTTGACAGAATTTTTCAAAATCTCGAAAATTATTAACCATCGTAATTAATAAATTCTAAAATGTTCAGTTTTTATAGCTAAGGATTGAAAATTTTAAAAAAAGATTCTCATAAATAGTTTTTACTGTAGCCAAAAAATCTAAAAAATATATGAGCACAGTTATTTTTTACAGACATTTTAAGTTCAAATTTGGGACGAAATTACATATTAAAAAACCTAGCATACCTATTTTAGTTATTTTGTTGTGAGTGTATAATATTATTCGTGGGTACTTGAAACTTCTAAAGTACACTATATTATATATCAATGATAGTATCAGGGTTTGTTATCGATGTATAACGTGTTATAAGTACCTAGTGGATATTGTGATATGATTAATTTGGAATTTATTATAGGTCAATTTTTTTTTAATACCATAGATATGTATATAATATATCTTAAACCTAGACTGACATACCTTCTTCGCTCAGAATCGTTTTTCTTATACAATGATATTTTATCATTGAATTCAAATTTAATACCATCCATTATACAGTGACCCACTTGTAACCTACTGTACAGCAGAGCGACATCCACTTACCCACCTTTTTTTTAACTATCATAATATGTATCTAGCTAATCGGGTTTTGTATAATATAATAAAATATGGGACCTTTCGATCAAACGAAATGTATATATTATACTCACCGCACATGGTGGCCAGAGAATCGACCAAGCCATTCAGCAACATGTGTTTATCGCCTGATTCGTCTGCAATGTAAGTGTACAAAATATTTATGTACAAATTCGTCTGCGAAGGAAAAAAAACAAACAAATTAACTAAATTACAGCAAACGATATTATGGCGATTGATTGTACATACATATTATTATATTAGTATAATATAATATCATACCTACAGAGTGTTTAAAAAGCATGTAAGCGCATGTTTGTTTCAAACATTTTTGAACACTCTGTACATAGGGTTTAGACTTTATAACTATGAAATATTCTATAAATTAAAAATGTATATTCTTTCTAGTTAAAAATACAAACCCATACAAGTTTACAGTCTTATATATATAATTATAATAACGGCTAAGGTTATTAACATATATTATATTATTACATATATACTAATTATAAAATAACTACGGAAATATTGAAGTATGAAATTCTGGAAGTTTTGCAAACTGACAATTTTATTGTATATTATATTATAGTATAATCTAAATTATAGAAATGTATAATCATTGATTTAAAAATAAAATAATACTATCTTCTAGCTTTCTGTATAGACCTTTATAGAACTTTTTAAATAAAAAATGAATATATAAGTATATAATTACCTATGTAATGAATAGAATAAAATATCTAAAAATTAACTTATAAAGCAGATGTATATTTATGTAGGAATACATCATTTCTATCACTGTGTTCACTTAAGTAAGTATCTACGGTATAGTTACTACAATACTTTTAAATTTAAAAATTCAATATAGGTAATTTTTTTTTATTATTATTATTATAATGTTTAAATATCTCAAAAAAATGTATTTCATGACATTTTAGAACTCTATCTGTACATCATAATAATATTATGTATATACTTGTGTGAATGCGGCCATGGCTATGACATACCAAATGGACCACATCAAGACTGTACGGTCTGCGTACGAATGTCTGAAGTCGCTGAAGTGGTTGAACAAAATCTCAGACGGCAAGATCTGAAATTCGAAAGTATTCAAATAAAATAATATGTCTAGTATGTAATGAGATATGTGGGTCTAACCTAACCAAACCTACCAGTGTCGTATGTATGCGATCTACCATCGTTAATAGTGATCTATATCTGAAAATTGGTTGTCGTCGTCTAAATATAAATTATATACCTAAAGCCCGTCACACAGCAATGTTCTAAGACTTAAGAGAAAAATTAAATTATTTATCTTCTAAAAATTATTGTTAATATATATTATATAAATATATGATACCTACATATTACAAGTCAGTCGTAAATTTTTAAAAAAACGTTTAACTACGTGTTTCTTATTGTATAATATAATGGTAAAAAAAAATGTTCAAAGGAAAGCTGTTATATCTTAGTAATATATTTTATTTTTTATTTTTAATCTAGTAATTGCACAATCTACAAAAGAATATTTTTTACAATATACACAAGTGATGTATAAAAATATTAGAAAAAATAAAATAAAATAAAAGCATTTCAGACTTGTGTGGAACTTCATAAATAGATAATATAAATTAAATTACTATGATTAAAACCATTATAATATATTATATAAAATACGTTTTGAAGTATAGAGAATTCAAATTTCAAATAAAAAATTTTAATTTGCATAATTAGTAGTTAGTTTATTAGTAATACAATAGATTTTCATAGCAAGTATTGTGTTTAAAATTATTGATTTTAACATTATTATTATTAGTTTCTTGATGTCGTCTCTGGATAGCTGGATGGGTAATATTTCAAGTTAAATAAAAGTTTTAATAAGCTAACTTTCTTAATTAGTATAAGTATGTACTCTAAAGTATGTATGTGAGTGATTCTTAAAATGTTGACTGTAGAAACGTGGGCGAGAAGGGAAAGGACAGCACTTTTGAGAGAACTGAAAAAACTAATCTTGATACTCTCCTTGGGCAAAAATATATTATAAAGGTTGTTTTTCGACAAAAACTTTACAACCCTGGCGAGACAACATCGTATGCAAATACCACTCAAGTGCTCACGTTTTGCTTGTTGGCTTTTTCAGTAGATGAGTACTTGGGTATGCCTGGGTCTCGGATGGCCGAATTTAAGAAACCATCGTTGCTGACGTCTCTCATATGAATGACAGTTTTGCTGTTTCCGACGGACGGCAAGAAGAACGCCCACGTGGTCGCAAATGTCATGACTGGAAAAATAATAAAACAGTTACGTCCGTATCAATATTACTATAGGTACGCGAACAGTAACGCGGACGATGCGTATCAGTGGCGTAACTAAGACCACTCTGTGCGTGTGTGGTGACTTATACGTATATTTCATATTTGTCACAAGGTGGTAAAAATAGTATATATTTATAGCTACATATTTATTATTTTTATAATAATAATTAATGTGCATCAATGTATCGTGCTTATAGTTTATACAATAAACTTATCATACTATATTAATATACTATCAGAGTATACTGCGGGATAATCTCAAAATAAAATAATCGATATACTAAAATCTTTAGCACAAGTGTCAACTTTATATTAACCTATAATAGAGAACATGTCACCTTAAGTTTACAGGACATGTCCCAATCGATTTTTATACCAAAATGATAAATATTATAAACGTTATAAACTAAAAACAAGTTAACATAGTAAAAAAAATGTACTAGAGGGTTGATTATAATATAATATATCACCTACATCGCCCTCCCTAATTACGCTACTATAGTGCGTATATATATTAAAATAATAATATAATAATAATAGGGTAAGAGTGTATGTGTGTGTGTTATAATTGGTGGTAATGTGTTTTAGGAAATGTAATACAGAAACGTTAAAAATATGTAAAATACATAATGCAGAAATTATTTTTTTGATCCAATAATTTCGTTTATGGCTTTCCGTGCATAGCACGAATAAACATATTCTGAAAATATATATTTGTAAGATTTTTTTGCCCCGTAACCCGAGTTTGCAATTAGACGTCTCTTGTGCGTCAAGTAATAAAATACCAAAAAAATAAACCACTTCAAAAACCGTACAGGCAAGGCTGTAGTAAGGCAGAACAGAGTAATTGCAATCGTTGAAGTAGACCACCAGTTGACCCAGGAGACTGCCCACGCACGTGCCGCTCAGCATTCCCGATTTTGCGAATCCCGTGGCTATCTGATAGTGTTCTTTGTCCTCGATTTTGGAGTACAGGTAACCATAATACGCCATCTCGATGCACGAGAACAGCGACAAGCAGACTTCGGTAATCTGTTAGACATACGCACAAACGACCGTTTAGGTAGGTATACATCTCACTAGGCACAAATAAATTAATATTATGTAAAATATTGTTTTACCAAATGTTTTATTGTTAATCTGAAATCTAAAGACTTTGAACCTTAGCCTGGTTTAAAATAATTTTATATTTTAAATAATTGTCTATAATCTGGTAATAACGAAAAAATAATATGGTATGTACACCATACCATACCATACGTACTACTGTTAGCGAGAATCATATGAAAATGTGTAAAAATAGGAGAGATATCTTCCTAAAATGTGTTCCATCACTAAACCATGATTTTGAATGAAATAAAACTTCCCACAAGGCCGTACCTCGTATTTAGATTTTGGAGCTGGTGCCTAATATTATGCGGTAATATGTCTATTATTTAATAATAAAGTGAAAAAAGGCCACCTGGTTCTGTGTTTCTAACTCACTGTAATAATATACACCTCACTATAAATATGTCAAAATATAGGTACTCTGTGTGCTCTTTCATAGTTTCATATAACTATGTTTATTATACGAATTATTCGAACTATACCATTATTCGAAACGTAGTGGGCGAATTGACCAGATTGATGTATGCCACCATACCCAGCATCCCGTTGATTATCATCACCGGCTTGTATCGCAAGTAGTCGGACGACAGGAACACCAGGAACGATCCGATCACTCCGAAGTATATCCTGATCGGCGTCAATACGTTGGAAACCTGCGTACAATAGTAACACAACCGATAATATTATATATAGCTTTGGACTTACTCGGGATTTGTTTGTGAGCAGTGAAAAAAAAACATAAATCCAAACTTAGCCGTTTTGTTAGTCGTCGATGAAGCAGTACATTATTATGGGTGAATTCTGTATAAGATTATGATATCGTATTATATCGTATTATGCAATAACCAATATAATAACTAACAACTCTGTTGCAATACATTATAATATATTACATAAAAGTATGTAATAGGTACCGGATGTTACAACAGTCTTCATATCATTTAAAAAAATCAAATTTACTGAAAAAATGAAGATACAGGGATGGGTTGAAACTTGAAGTAGAATATATTCTTAGAATAATCAAGTTTTAATTAATTTGTTTATAAATGTCTTCATCTGATTACGAATTTATGTAGCTCAACAATCGCTAATCAAGGGAATTCTATATTCGAATACCGTATAATATAATATAAATTTACGTCGGGCAGACACAGGAGGTCATATATTATTATAACACTTGTAAGTAAAATGTTTTAAAAATTGATTGTTTTAAGAATATTTTTTATTTTTTACTTCCATTAACCCCGGTATCTATTTTTTTTAAACCAATATGAATTTTTAGGAACTGGTGAAGTCTTTTGAAACACCTGCATACTGTATAATTGGTATGTTCGTTCGGATTACTCGGATTTTAGATTTAGTGAAGAAATCAAAATATATTATGTACGTATGAACAACCCGCCAAGATAAATTTTTATTTTTATGTAGCTGATAAAGATAACGTTGTACCCGCGTATGCGAGTTGTCTCAGTCTTACACGCGTACCGGAGTCTAACAACAACTCATTGATAGGTAGGTGTACTTAATAAAAGAAAAAAAAGATTGCAGAGGAAAATATGAACTGAGCTAGTGCAGAGTTTTTTTTTTATTATATGCATATTTTGAAACGAGTTCAATGGATTTTAAATTATTAAAATACTTATAAATCATAAAAGAATAAAAATATGGGAAAAAAATGTATCACTCGAACGCAGTTCGTATTCTTTTTTACACATTTGAGTACAATAGTATTATGTAACTATAAATTAATTTTAAACGAGTTGTAGTAAGAATCTGAAACATAGGTTTTTTATAATATAATACGTTATACGTGTGTATAAGACAGAGACAACTCATGATGGTATGATATGGGATGTCATGTATAAACTATAAGCTCGTACAATATTCGACCCGATTTGTTTTTTTAAAAATAACTTCGTGTAGAAACTGAAAACCAATTTTGGATTAAGACGTGAATATTCCAGCGATTGTTATCATCATATTTATTATTTATTTTTTGTTTTCATACAATCGTTGCTAGCGTGTTTCCGATGAGGGGGTAAAAACGTTCGACATACACCGAATTTCGAGGATTGAAAAATAAATATATAGGTTTATAATATTTGAATGTCCGTCATTGCTGTTGTATATTATGCTATTATTTTGGTTCCGCTCTTGCGAAATATTTTGTGGTATATTAGTGTACCACGCCGACGCAACAATAATGGTTTTCGAAATTGCATTAGCGATTCCGCTTGTTTCGTCACGAAAGCTTAATACTTCCACACGATTCATTTTATTTTTTTCACGCTTCTGTTTCTCTTTGGTATTTTCCTTCCGCCTTCAACACAAAACACAATATAGATTTTTTTAAATTAAGAAAGAATGGTTTTTTTTTTCACTTTTTATTTTTCCTTCCTTCCGTTCGATGATTTTGGCTTTGTTTATTTACATTATATAGAATTGATTTTACGACAGTCATATTATTATATACGTGACTTTTGCTCGCTTTTTCCAAAACTGAAAATGCTTAATAATTCAGGAGCGACACGTGTGCGTCGGGAACAAAATAAAAGGTCTTTGAGTTTGTTTGAGTTATCGATTCGACGAACTTCTACAGAATAATAATACAATGTATTAATCGAAACGAAAAAGATTTTAAACAGCTACATCGACAAGTCAAGTATTGTTCAGCTGGGTGCATGGAAATTTCACCAATTTACAGGTAGTCGATTTTAAGGTTCGATTTATAACGTGTATTACAACAGTAATATTTTTTTACTTGAAAAAATAAATATAAACTACATTAGTACTAAGTTATTAATGCAAATTAACGATATTATAAAAACACTGCATTAGAATTAAGTTCAAAAAAAAAACCACAGTTTTGAAATTGTCCTAGTTGATAGTCTCGAGTTTCATAATCATTTGTCTGAACTGAGTCCTTGGCGTCAAAAGTGGACACCCAAAAAGTGGTATATTTCCCAGGTGGAAACTTTGCCTGGCTAAGATTTTACTATTCACTGCACGTAATAAAATGTTATTCATACCATTTTTAACAAATTAAATGGTTATTATAATATTGTAATTTGTTAGTTGTTACATGTCATTTGAGTTAAACTCTAGGCCTAATATTATTTTCACAGAGTTTACCCAATCGGTGTGGGTAAAGTACTAAAGTGTTCATTTTGTAGTTTTTATACCGATAATTTACATAGGTATTAAAATCAAACTGATTTCAAAAAAATAAAGAGTATAATATGTTAAATTTAAGAAGTTATAGTTTATATTGGTTATTAGTATATTCTTTTATAACTTTTATTGATTTAAAAGTGTAAAAAAATTCACTGAACCTTAGGTAACCTTACCCACCCTTCCCCCATACATTTTTGAACTTTAATATCTCATAGTTGCTCAATTCTATTAAAGTCAGTTTTTTTTGGGACATAATTAATATGTTTTTTAGTTTTGGGACTCAGTTCTGATGCACCCATGTGTATAAGATGTATTATAATTTATAATAGGTATATTTTTTATTTGGGGATCGAGGATTTATATATTTTTTTATTAGGTAGTTATAATAATGTACCTATGTATGTATGTATGTATGTATGTATGCAGGTATATGTAGGTAGGTATGTAATATATGGAGTCAAAATACAAAGATAAAACACATTTTGAGTAGGTACTATAGGTACCTCTCAGCGACTAGTGAGAACATGGAGTGGGTAAAATATAATTAAAGTTTTGAGATATAAACAATAGGAAATATAAGGGTTATATTACTTATATTTTATATATTATATCTAAAGAAAAAACCCTCTAAAACAAAACGTCAGCTAACTTCAATAATGTCGTTATTGTTGAGTAGACTGAAAGTGTAATAATATATCACGGCAAAACAACAGATTGAACAAAGTACAGAAAAAAACTCCACCTGAAGTAGATTGACGTACTGCAAAAAACGTGTGTAGAGAAAACAGTCATAATAATAATAATAATAATAATATGGATATGAGACATCGTCTTGAGAGAAATATATATATTTATATGGCTGACAAAACTTGAACTTAAACAAACAACTTTCGAGTGACTTTATTATAATATTGACAACATAATATAATACTACTCGAATATAACTCGTTAGAGATTTTGAGTGTGCACTTCTTCATCAGTACATATTATATAATATTATACTATGTATAATTATTAGGGTGGTTCAAGTTTATAGAGGCTAAAATTTTTTTTGAGAAATTTAAAATGAGTACCCCCCCATTTTTTTATGTGATAATAAATAATAATTCTGCGAAAATTTGGACTTGATAACTTAACCCCTTCACGTGCCGCAATAGGGTTAAATTATGGCCCAAAGGGGTTTTTTCAGTTTTTTTTTAATTATTTCAAAAACTAAAACTTATGCAAAAAAAATTGTAAATTATAAATTATAGAGAAATATACTGTCTACAAAATATGTTATAATACAAATTCTATTTAATCCATTATTTCATATGGAAAAACTATATAAATGCCTAAGTGTAATGAAATATTTTGTTTATACGTAATACGCGTATTCCCAAATATATATATGTTTTTAAACCAAATTAAGATTGTGACTTTTAATCGTAGTTGAAATAAATTATTGTACGTTTGAATTTGATAGCAATGTATATTTTAAAAACAGTAGGTATAATTTCACAATTTATTTTTAACTCCAAATTATTGCGATAACAATGATTTTATCTGTTATTACTTTATCGTCAAACCAGAAAGTAGATTACTGTGTATAACGTAGTCAATAGTCAGTATATTACAGTCATTTGTGTAACATCAGCTTTTTGATATTCAATATTTATATTTTTGTATTTTACGTAATTGTTTTTAATATGTCTAAACGAAAAATTTATTTAATAGAATCAATTAAAAATCAAATTACGGGTAGCAAATTACCATCAATTAAAGACTGTCTAAGTGTACTCTTTTTTAATCTGAGGTTAGTTAAATTAAATGTAAACGACGGTGCCGCACTTGTTATTGACGAGTGTTTAATTTATTGGAGAAAAGCAAGAATTCCAACTCGTGATCGTTTGAATTGCATAAAGAAATTAAAAAAAATTTACGAAGATTGGCGTAGCTTAGAGAAAAATGCAAAAAGAACCGGAGATTTATACAAGCAAAGAGAAAAAAACTTTGTCGATTGTCTAAACGATTTGTTTGATATATCACATGCCAATGCGGTAAACATGATGAAAAATGAGGAGGACATTGCATTTTTAAATTTACAAAGACAAAAAGGTCGTCCAGGTTGCATGGTTGGTAAAGATTTAATATTGTCCAAGGCAGAAGAGAGGACTGAATCTCGTCCAGTAAAAATAAATACAAATCTTAATTCGACTATTGAACTTGAATCTGGTATGTGAAAAATATTTAAATAAATTATATAATATTAAAAATTAATATAAATTTGTTTTTGATGATAGTTAATTACGATAATTTGTCTACGAGTTCGGACGATAATGAAGAATTAGAAAATTTGGCCCAACAACGATAGCTATAAAAAAGCACGAAGTATCATAATTTCATTAAAGGTAGTTAACGACACAGCGGAAAGAAATGTCAAGTTGATGGAAGAGTTCAATCAAAAAGCGACAAAAAATGAAGAACAAAAGCAATACTTATTACAAGTTTGTACCAATAAATATTAGTTTTAACTATGATATTAAATAATTAAAAAATATAATTTAACATAATAAAACTTATTTTTCAGGTTGTTCAAGACTACAGAAAAACATATCCATCATTTAGCCGACAATGTCTATCAAATTTATAATAAAAATGTGCTTAATATTTTTGAATAAAAATAAAAAATATTTTTCATTATCTTAAAATATTTTTTATATTCGTTTTAAGTTTTTCTATATGAAATAATGGATTAAATATAATTTGTATAATAACATATTTTGTAGACAGTATATTTCTCTATAATTTATAATTTAAAATTTTTTTTGTAAAAGTTTTAGTTTTTAAAATAATTGAAAAAAATTGAAAAAAACTGAAAAAAACCCCTTTGGGCCATTATTTAACCCTATTGCGGCACGTGAAGGGGTTGAGTTATCAAGTCCAAATTTTTGCAGAATTATTTTTTCTTATCACTTAAAAAAATGGGAGGGTACTCATTTTGAATTTTTTTAATAAGTTTTTTTGGACCACCCTAATAATTATTGTTATATAATTTCATATTTTATGTACAGCGATATATTATATTCACAGTTTTATGTATTTGTATATAAGAAATGTATCGCTTTGGGCTCCATCAACAACGATGATTGAATAAACAGTAGGTACAGCACTCGACGGTTACAGAAAGAAAAATATAAATATAATAGCTAGAATAATAAACGCATAACGTGTGTTTTGATGAAATCCAAATGGGTGGGAAGTACGCTTATAATAGACAAAGTGGATGAATGTAGATAAAATCTAACGGGGTCGTGGATTGTGTGTGCAAATATCATCCAATATTTAATTTATGATAATCGGTCCGACTTTAACTTATTTACATAACGGATATTATCTTAAAAATATAATGTATAAGGTAGTATACATTGTAATTTGTAGATTTTTCAATAATTGTTCATTTTGAACATTAAACATTAAATATTGGATGATATTTACACACACAATCCACTTATTTATCAGTCATAAATATTGAATTCTCGATTGTTTGCGGAATAAAGTAGAGTGACCTCCACGGGGATATAAGCGAATTCGGCGGATAATCCCCCAGATTCAAATCTTCATAAGTACTAGTTTTCATGCATGGTTTTAATTTTTTCAATAATGGGCACTTGCAGTCTGATGCAGATGTAAATTTTATTAATTTATCATTGTATTTAAAAATGTCCATAACAGAGCTTTCTCCCATTCTATACAGCGATCTGATTTGTTTTTTTCGAAATAACCTTTTCAATGTTTTCAATCATTCGAGTTTTTCTTTTTTTCGCACATTTCGTAATGGCCTTGTAATAAAAAATGTTACAGCTAAAATCATGAAACTGTAATTCTACGATCTGTACTTGCAGTGTACAGTAGACGGAATTTGTAGATAGGTAGTGTAAAATATGACGTGAGGGAGACGCAAAGTGTATATATCGGTCAATATATTCTGAGTAAAACAAATCACAATAAATTACGATCACGCAGTGGTGTGTCAGACCTAAGTAAATGTAATAACTTACAAACCGCTTTATCGGGTTATCGGTTATCGGTTTATTGTATGGAACGCAATTAGACCGATGCATGCAACCGTAATGATGTGTATAATAATATGTGTTTATTTTTATATGTGTATACATAATATTATTATGTACATGATGTCGCGGAAGACCTTGGATAATCGAAACTACACTATAGTTATATTAACTACTCATGATTAGTTTGTGGCGAAGGGTTATTCATTCACCTGTGAGATTTTTCAACTTTTCAGGGCGAGTTTTATTTTTCTTTCAGAGTATTTAAAAAAAATAAAATAAACTTAGTACAATAGTACCTAATAAGCTTAACTTATATCCATAGGTTTGAATAAAACAGATTGTAATATAATAAAGTACTTTCTGTAATAGAATATAATATTATACGACTGTTATTAGCTGTTAAGTTGAAAAATGATAAAAAAAAAGTTAGGTGTAACGTGGTATAAAATACGGTTGGTAACTTTTAACATCTTAGCTCAGTAGCGACTGAATAGTGATGGGGAGATAGGGGTCTGGTCCGGCTCAGTGGTTGCAGGGTTGAACCTGCCTCTTAATACAATTTCGAGTTGGTCACGTAATTTATTTATATATCCACGTACTCGTGAACTATTCCTATTATATTATGTAGGTATGTATAGTCTTTAGCCACTCGGTGGAATAGTTTACTCATTGAAAAGGGCATAGACGTACCGAAACTGAGTGTGAGTGGCGAGCGCTCATAAATTGTATAATAAATCATTATCGCATCGGTGCGCAACAGTGAACATCGCAGCACCGGACGACCGCAAATAACTTAAATTATATTTCAATTACGTATTTTTTTTAAATGTAAATTTCATTACCCTTCATTTTCCATACATTTATTGGCTGTTGCATCAAGCGTATTACTTTTATAAAACAATGCGGACAAAGACAAACAACAATCTATATGCACGTATTATGCGAGATATATTCAAATATCAATATGTATATATTATATAGTCATGTATTTAGCTGTTTAGTGGAAGCTTACTCATCGAAGGAGTATATATACTTATAGTACCGTTGAATATTCTAATGGTAGAATATACGTACGTAAACTCAGTCTGAGTGCACATACACATTTTATATCATTCATTTTATCGCAACAATGAACATCGCGAAGCGAAAACCACCGCAAATAATTGTAAACCATCTCAATAACGTATTTTGTTAGCATGTAAATTGATTCTATTTTCCCTAGAATTATTACTGCTTCATCAAGCGTTTTACTGTTATTAAAGTCGGACATAGACGCATATAGATAACGAAAATAATATAACTATAAACTATTACGCGCTAAATAAATAAACATTTATACAATTTATTTAAATTTAATATTAAAAGTTAAAACCTCATTGTATTTACTGAACCAGGTTTATCAAACAATATCGAATGTATAATTTAGTTTTAGACTTTTAATACATTATATATAGTATTGCATATTTTTAATATTTTTATTGCATGACAAAAAAATTTAAGTCGACAGGTCCCCACATTATTTTTTTATTTCTAATTGGCATGGAAAACTTTTCAAATTTCCGGCAAGAAATCGATTTAACTAGAATGTATACAATTATAGTTGATGTATTCGTCTTTTTAAAAGTAGCAGATACCCTATACTTATGGGCATTAATACTTAATATGTGGGTGGATGTGTATGTGTGTTAATAGCCATTTATATACCTCGTTTAGCGTCACGTTGACATACGGTCCGGTCAAGTACGCCGTCAGAAACGAGTCCATCGGTCGTATTTCCACCGTGAACGTGAAAACGGTGACCATGACCGTTATGAATTTCCAATGATCCATAGTGGTGGCGGCGGCTGTGCTTTTATCCGTTTCGGAAGACCACCGTTAGACCACGTTCAGACCGTTGTCATTTATTCCGTTTACCTCACGTAGCTATACTATTAGCGTAGGTATTGATACTATTAACGTAGGTATTAATACTATATTCACGTAGGTATTAATAATCGTAATGTCGATATTCCACGATCGAACGCGCGACAAAAACAAAAATTAGTACACGGCACAAACAGATACCGAATAGAACGATGATTGCTTTAAGTATAATAAAAAAATTGAAAACAAATAACTCAACGGTTCCACTTATATTATTACATTATTGTGCCAACGCCGGATTAGAATATTCAAAAGTAATATTGTAATATATGTAATATAATATTTTATGTTTTTGGAATAGATTTTTAAATTATTTTCGTAAGTGAATCTCGGTATCTACTTCCCTTATTTGAGATCAAAACCACCAAGATCGTCGAATCCTTGGTAGTAGAAACGTATATTGTACTATATGTCTATATAGGTTCGGCATAAGTATTGATCGTTAACTGATCGGTGAGCGGCGATAAAGGAGTTGATATTATGCTTAGGTTTATTGTATAATAATTCAAGCGAATGATATTTTTGTCGACCTATTGACCATTAATCATTATAGACAGTGCAGTTGCTCGTTTTTATAAAAAACATTTTTTTCATCCTAGCAAGTTGTGCGTTAATTTGTGTGTAATAAATAATGATAACATATTATCATTATTATTATGATTAATGTAAGTTATATAATCATTGTAGGTACAACTCACATGATTTCCATGCTAGCAATATTTATATTTTAGATAATGCAAAAAAAAAATATTAATTATATTTTAATAGGTAATTATAATTATATCATATAATATTGATTATTGTTTATAATAATATATTATATTATATCTACCTATCTGGTTTTTACTTATTTTCTCTTTTTCAACAGTTATTTACTTATCATCGTCATTTATTATTTTATCATCTTCTTCGCTAAATTCTAAGCTTAATGATTTATTTTTCCTAAGGAAACATGTATCTCTTCTTAGTTCTTAATTTTTTTCCATTACAATCTTTCATCAAGTACCATCTTCTTAATTCAATTCTAGTTTTGTGCATTTTTTAACTATACGTTTTCCCTTTTTTTAAATTTAGTTTCTTTTACTGTACCTTTTTCTGTTAAAATAAATTTTTTTAATTTTTTGGTTCATATAAATATATAATTTTCTATTTCATGATTTTATTTTTATCAACATGCATATTTCTTTTAGGTAACTTGTTTTTAAAATTATTATTTGTTATACTTATTCTGGATACTTTTTCCTATTATTATTAATAGGTCTTATATTTTTAAGTCTAACAAAAAAATAGACACTGTTCTTCAAAAAGAGCGAAAGGCCGTATGATTTCCTCAATATTATATAATAATATATAGATATTATATGTATGCGATTACTGATTAGAATAATAGTTACACAAGGAAGACTGAATTTGAGTTGGTCTATAGCGATCACAATGTATCTTACATTTGACTCGTCGGTAAACGGGTTGAACTTAAGTTAAGTATACGAAGATTATGACGAGAAAATCATTCTCTTTATATTGGTATATAGGTACAAACTATACTCTGTACTAAATTCGTTACTACTGCAGTAGGCATTTTAATATGTTTATTGTTAAAAGTTCGTGGGCAGCATTATTATTTATTGTATTTAAGGTATCCATAAGAGTATAATCACAAGTCACAGCAGCCTACAACAAAACTTAATTAAACCGATAATAATATAACATAATATCTACCTAATTTGAATAAATTGATAGTTGATATTGATATTGATATTTTCCAATGAACATTTTACGGCGTCTGCATTCTGCAATAATGCAATCAATGAGCTTTGGAATTAACCTGCACCCTAAAACGAACATATTATAATTCAATTTTTAAATCATGTTTTCCAGTAGGTATAGCAATGTATAGCATACTACACGAGTATAATGATTATAATATAATAAGTTTATAGTACTATATACCTACCCTTATTCTTTAATATTACAACAGTATAATATATTGATTTAAAATAATATTTTATATTCCGAGCGTATACGATATCTATACGATGATGTGTTTTTTTAGTTTTTATTTTTGTGTCTGAAGAAACTTTTTCTAGTAAAAAAGTGGTCTGATCATTAAATTCTATGTACGTTTCTTGTAGCATATTATATCAAGTTAATACTTTTGAGAAGTTAAAATTGAATATCATAGTACTTTTTAAATAATCAGAAAAAATACAAATAATATGAACATTTGTTAGAACTGTAGTTATATTTTTTTAAATAATTGTTTTTACCCCAAGTTAGAGGGTATCCACACTGGTGGGCCTCCCTCCTCACGCCATTTCATTTTTATGTTAGTTATTTAATTTAGCTATAGTAGGTATTGTATATAAATATTACAGGACCTGCAGCTGGCGAAATAGCATTAATTCCATGAATACAGTGGCGTGGCTAGCATATTTCAAACCCTAAGAAAAGTATTTGAAAAATACTCTTATTGTCTTTTAAAACGTTTATTTTACACTAACTCTATTGTAGCCGCTATATTTTTCACTATCGAAAGGGTGCAGTTTAAGTAATACACATTTTAATTGCTCATGCAACAAACCGATACAGATGAAAACGATATTTCTTGTAAGCAATACAAATTGAATAAAAATGGCGCACGGTGTCAACAGTTGGGCGAGTGCCAGCTTCGATCGTATTATAGGTATTATAATATTATTGTGCTGATTGGAATATTCAAAAACAATATATGTTATATGATTTTGGAATAGAGATTTTAATTATGTTCGTAAGTTAATATCGGTATCTTCTCTCTCGTGGAATGAAAATCACCTGCAAGGTCGACGAGTCCTAAATCGTAGAAACGTATATGGGATCTACAGGTAGTGGCAACCGGTCGTTGCATAAAAACGATATTATGCATGCTTATAGTGGAATTCTGACGAATGCCATTTTCGATTATTGAATATTGACCATCTTCATAATCCCCGTTTAGGCGAGTTCGTTTGTTTTAAACATTAATTGTTTGTTTCATTTTCATCCTATAGGAAGGTATACTAGCTAGTTGTTGCGTCGATACGTATAGGTGCAATAAAACACCAGACTCCGTTCCTAAAGGCGCACATAAAGTACCTATAGCTATTGCCAGTTGTATATAGCCCCCCATATACCATCCCCTGGTCTAAAAAACAAAATTACTCTATCGTTAAAGAAATTAAATTCTATTTAAGTCTGCCCTCTCCATATTTTTTCTGCTGGGGGGCAATTGGCACTTTGTGATCCCCTCCCCCCAATAAGTCACAGTTTTTTTTTTTTATAAGCATTTAAAGTTCAAATATTGACAAAATACTCAAAAATTACGAAAATTTGAAAATTATTTTGAGTTAGAAATTCATAAAAAATTTTCTTTTTAAATCCAAGATTTGAAAATGTAATTAAAGATTCCTCATAAGCTTTTCTATTTTTATCAAAAAAAAAATGTCTACAAGAAACTCAAATTAAACTTTTATGAGAGTTTGAAGATCATAATTTTTACAATATTAGTTATAGTTTTTCGATTTCTCGTGTAGCGGTTTTGTAATTTTATTGTTATTTAAAAACGAATAACTGTAGATACATGAAATTTTTACTGAATGTTTATATTTTTCATTTTCTATACACCATAAAAATTTGAAAATATTTTGACTCTTTTTGAGCTGTTTACGGACATTGTCAGTTTAAATTTTCTTAGTTTTTTCTTCTATAAATATCAATAAAATTGTATTTGTTGGGTAAAAAAGCATGACAATTTAATTCAAGGCTTCTGATATACTGTAATAATAGGAGTTGAAAAATATTAAAAATACTTAGGCACAATTTTTTTTTATAAGCATTTAAAGTTCGAATTTTGACAAAATTTATCATTATTCATTTTGAAATTTAATAATTATTTTGTAGTTAAAAATTTATAAAATGTTCAACTTTTACATCTAAGGATTGAAAATTTAAAACAAGGGTACACGTAAATAGGTAAATATATAAATTACTTTATTCACAATATTATCATCAAATATACTTAGTAATATCATAGGTTAGGTGACTGACTGTTTTCGATCAGAATCGTTTTTCTTATACAATGGTATTATATCATTGAACTAAACTTAATATCATCCATTATACAGTGACCCACTTGTAACCTACTGTACAGCAGAGCACCTTTTTTTTTTTTTTTTTTTTTTTTTATAGCAAAAGCCGCATATGGGCCAATTTAAAATATTAGTCACGGATTCACGGTATAAATTGTTTTCCGATGACTCTTTTATAGTTTTATAGTATAGTTTTACAAAATATCAGACATGGGGATTGAGTATAGAGCCAAACTAGTAGGTACATATTATGTTAAGTTCGATTATAAGTAATAACCTTTTAGACAATTATTATCTAACCGTATTGTTGGAACAAATTGTATGAATAAATTTGGTTCGATAACGATAATTACACATGATTAATATAACATAAATAATTATAGCAGTTCTCACGTATTTACAACAGTACACTATGAATAATTTTATTAATTTGATAATTTGAATGTATTTGAAAATAATTTAATTTGTGTTAAAGTAGTCAATATTATCAACATATACATATATTATACACATTATACATGTCATAAATCATAATAATATCGTTAAATATAATATATTTAAGATAATATGATTTATGAATCGTTGCAACACCAATTTACTGTTACACAGTCAAATAACCAATCGATCAAGGAACTCATGTATTTATGTACCTGCCTACTATAATTTCTATAATAGCATATTATTATCATAGGAGCAGCGATTTCCTATTTTTTTTTTTTTTTGCTGGCAGTATCCTCTTTATGGACCAAATTTAGTCACGGTACCCTGCCAGTGTTTAATACTATTTGCGAGGAACATGAATAAAAAACAGGAAAAATCGTTTTGTTGTTTAGTTAGTGTAAAGTCTTCTCGTCATTGAGTATAGACAGGTCACAGTAATGGATGTGTTTGATTTGAATTCAATGATAAATCATTGCTACGAGAAATGATTCTATATAATAATAGTAATAGTAATTTTATAAAAATTACTACCTATTTTACTGATTATCAAAAATTGTGACTTGTATAATAAGTAAATTTGTAAATTTAAATTTTAAACCCCAACTGATTTTTGTTCCTTTTGTTATAAATCAAAAAAATACTAATCACTTGAGACACTTCAACACTTGAAATATTTCACATTTACCTAATTTAAATGCCCTTCTCTATAGGTAGGTACACAATTATTTCTTTAAATATTTTATCCTAATTTTAGCTATACATTCAATATAAATATTAAAATTTTTTTAAGTTTTGATAAAAATTTAGACTCTGTCAAAATGCTTGAAATGTACACAAGATCTCACATAAATTGTTTTTATAGTAATTTAACATTTTAAAATTTATTTGCACAATTTTTTTTTTTATAATTTTATTGATGTTCAAATGTTGACAAAATTAATTAATATTACGAAAATGTACAAATAATATTGTAGTTAAACATCTATAAAATGTTCTACTTTCATAGCCTATACAAGGCTTGACAATTTAATAGGTGCTTCTTTTATAATTTTTTTATACAGAAACTAAAAAATCTGAAAAATACATATGCAAAGAATGATTTTATTTTTCATTGTTAAAAAAAGGGTGACTTGAAACATACCGAAGCGATACAAAAGACTAAAGAGAGGCGGGTAGTCGGTTGTAACGAAACTTCTCTGAAGAAACTTTACAAAATTTCATTTCTGAATTGAGAAATTGTAACTTTTTAGTTTTTTTCCCATATGGTAATGACGAAACAGACTCTCCAGCTTTATAATATAATATTATTATAGATTATAATATAAGTATAAAATATAAATATAAAAAAGTGTATACTAGATAATATTTTATTTTTTATGTATAAGTAGGTGCTATTTTATGAATAACCTACGATAGTTTCGATTTTCCAAAAATTATTAAAATGAGCGATGAAACAATGCCTACAGTTCCTCTTGTCTCTGACCCTGTTCTGGTTCTCTATAATATCTTCAATATATACAGTGACCACTTAATATTAATACTAGGTACAATGTACGTGATGTTTTTTCACTGAGAAAAACTTTTATTCTGGATTATTATTTTTTGGATTACAGTGGTAATCTAGGGTTATCGGGCTTATATAATAATATATTTAGGTATATCATAGACCTCAGTCAGTTTTCTCTTATCCGTTTCACTGCAATTTTATCATAGATGCACTTTCCAATAATGTGTCACCATATGTATTCATGTAGCAGTTGGCCAAGCCGCTATTGAGCCTATAATAAATTGTTATTTTTCGAGAGCCCTCTCGCTTGATTGTCCGCCCGACCGCAAATCGTGCCCGGGCCGGCTGCAAGGCTGAGTGTGTGCGTGTGCACGCGTGCGCGCGCGCGGTGTGCAGCCGTAGTGATGGTGCAGCGCGGAGGGAGGCGGCGGTGCCGGGTGACAGATCGCCGCCGACGCGTAAGCGTAGCCCCCCGACAGGTTGGCCAACCGCGTTGTCGACGACATCGGTGGCCGACCGACCGTCCGTATGTATACATCCGTCGCGGTGGCCTCCGCCGTCGTCTTCACCGTCGGCGGCGACCGATGGTGGTAACAGTGTACGCCGCGCACACTCGACCGTCGTAGGACCGCAGCCGTCGCCCGACCGTAGTCCGTACGACTCGTGCACGACATTCAGTTGTACTCGTCGTCGTCGTCGCTGAGAACGCCGCGCGTTACGTCGATCGATTTAACGACCCAGGAGCGGCACCCGAGGGCCTGAACTGCGTCCGATGATCGTGGCTATGGAGAGGAAATGATATTGAACTGATCGACGAGTACAAGACGTGCACATGCCTGTGGAGGATCAAGGATCCCGAATATAGAACAAGAGATGAAGAACGAGGCGTACGAGTCGCTGCTGCAGTTGATAAAAAAGTATAATAACAATTTTAATGATTATAATAGTATTAGAACACTACGGGGCGAGCGCAATAATAATATTAACATCATCGGTATTACTCAAAAAGACGCGGCTGCCTATTGCGGAGCGCGTGACAGGTCGTCAGCAACCTCAGTTGTAGAGTGTAGACTACGGCGGGCGGAAGTGTGGGGAGGGGAGACCTCGCTTTTCGGTGGCAGCGGCGGTGGTGGACGACCTTTGAAATGATAATAATTCGTGCGCTTAGATTGCGAGTTTCGACGTAGGTACTTTACGAATTGCATTTCCGCCACTGCCGCTCATTTACTTGGCCAATAGTAAGGGATCACACGTCTACACCTCCCTACTATTACTACGTCGGCGTTTACTTTATTATAAATATATATATATATCATACCTATATGTATATAATATAGTAAAAAACTAACTGTATCTATAGATAACCCCGACTTCGCCCTCGGAAAAACCGAATAAACATAAAATACGGCAATATATTTATATATTGTTATGACGGTGTGTATTGGTTTTGGTGGACGGCAGTTTACGGGAAAGTCGGCACCACGCTTTTTGAACTAATTCGACCGAGATGGGCACTTGATATATTATTGAACATTGTCAAATTGCTGTCTAAACTTTCCCGATGTCTCTGAGAATAACTAGTTTTTGAGTCTATAAGCTACAAACATAAGAACATTACCTTTTGTTGTACATTTGAATAATAAACAATGCATTTAATATTATTTAAAATTCCGTAGCAACAAGTGGCGGTGCAACTCTAGTGTATACGAATTTTTTAAATTTTATTCTGTAACCAATGGATATACTCTAATACCCTATAGCAAGAACCCAATATTAAATCAAAAAACTATTCGATTTTCGTGAGCCAACATTAAATTCATGTGTGTCCTATGAGCCACCCTATAACAACCTATAGGGTTGACAAAAAAAGCTAAAATCGCACTCCGAGTATCAAGGAAATTTATTGATATAACTTTTATTGACATTCGTCCAATAGTTTCTGAGGTTAGTGCCTTCAAACATACAAACTCTTCAGGTACACATACAGGATGTGAGGGCGTATTACAATTTACGAATATTGTTCCGATTACGGAAATCATGTATGCGTAGTATGTGTAGCGGGAGGGGGGCGTTTTGAGACAGTGAAAAATTTACATATAGCAGCCAGTTTTATTTCTGAAAATTCACTTATTTTATTTAAAAAAATCAGAACTTCAAATTTATATGGTTTTTTTTAGCTTTGGTAACTGCAGTTTTTCTTGTTTCTATACGTTGATGGACAGCTATTATAATATGTGTACATTATAAATGTCAAGTTACTAAATACTAGTTAGGTACTAAAATTGTGAATTTTGTGATGCATCACCATTCAATGTCTTTCAAAATACACCGTATTACCCACAGTTTTAGAAGATAAAACGTCAGGAATGGTGAGCTATGTCCAATCCAAGGTGTTAAAATATTATTTCAAAAATTGACATACATAAATAATTTATTTGACAGAGTAATCACTAAATAGTTTCAATGATAAAAATAAAAATATTATATTTTATGTCAAACTTACTTCGTTCATAAACAGAAGTGTTTCATAAAACGTTTTAATAAATAAGTCAAACCCATATCTCTTGATTGATGTTTCTTAATTTGTTTTTTTCACCTAAAGTATCCAACCAAAGAATTCATATAAGTGTTTCTTATTATAATATATCTAAGAACTAAGATTTGAAAATGTAATACAAGATTCCTCGATGATAGTTTGTCTAACTTTAACAAAAAAAATGTCTACTAGAAAGTCAAATTAAATTTTTAAGATCGTTTGAAGTTCAAATTTCAAAATCAAATATCCACCGGAAACGACTTTACAAAATATTTTGACACGTTTTGAGCTATTTACAGATATTTTCCATTTTCAGCTTTTTAAATTTGTTTAGTTAATACAATTTTATTCGATAGGTCAAAGAGTTTTAAACTTTAATACAAAGCTCCTCCCAAATACTTTGTTACAATATCAGTTAAAAATATATAGGAATTATTTTTTTTTATAAACATTTAAAGTTCAATGTTGATAAACCTTATCGAATTGAAAATTTGCGAATGATTTTATAGTTAAAAATTTATGAAATGTTAAATTTTTATAGCTAAGGATTGCAAATCTAAAACAAGGATTCTTATAAGTAGGGCATACTTTAACCATAAAAATATAAACACAATTTCTTTGTATAGACATTTTAAGTTAAAATTTGGACGAAGTTAGATATATAAACAAATAATAACGATTTTATAGTTATGATTTTGAAATTTAAAAATATTAGTCATGTGTGCTTGAAACGTTTAAAGTAGGTATACCAAACAAAATGTTTTCGGCAAAAATTAATTCAACCTACTATTTTACTAATAGCTTAACTTTAATAGCAATAGTATCATAAAATATACTTATAGTTTTATAAACGCTGACTGATAATTCAGAATCGTTTTCGTATACAATGATTTTATATCGTTGAATTCAAATGTTATACAGCCATTAAAGTGCAGCAGAGCGGATTTTATATTGAATAATATATAGATGGACGTACATTATTTTTTTAGGAGGCAATATATAATTGATAAATTGATTAATCTAATGACCTTCTGAACTTTCCCCTTTGATTCACCACAGACTGTATGTAGGCTATGTAGCTTCACGCCAATCCATCGTTATTTTGCTTCCTAAAAATAATATCATTATAATAAAGGTGTTATTTCACACGCGCTAACGATTTTTGCCGCCGCCGTCAACCGTTGTTCTTAAGAGCTATGGACGAGATGACGAACGTCGTTAACGGCTGCTATAATGGAGGCCACGTCTGATGTACGTTTGCTGACTTTTGATTCGGAGCTGCTAAGTTCTGAGTGATTTCTTAACATTAGCTTCTCGTATTTTTACGTTATCTATATTCTATAATACGATCAATCTCATCTTACACGATGTTTGTTGGACGTCCTATGAAATTAACTTTTTGTTGTTTTATTGTTCTTATAAGAACTCAAGTATAGGTAATGTAATGTAATTGACTCATGATAATATTAGTACCTAAAATCATAATATATTTGTATTCATAGAAAAATATCACAAAAAAGTAAACAGTTTAGCAAAACAAATCTTTGTGGCCCTGTTTTTCCTCATGTTTTCCTACAAACGAATACGTTGTTTAGTATTGTAAACAAACCTTTATCTTACGTCTTTTTACCTCATTAACGAAGGGCCCATAATCTCGTAATAAATTAAAAATATGTTGATCAGTGAGTTAAATCAGTTGATTTCAATCGCTATAATAATTTAGCTAGTCGACGAAATGAAAAATCATTGATATGTAAAGACAATTTGATATTTCGGGTCAGCAGCGGTTTTGAGTGTAACCATCTGCTTATAAATTAATAAAATACATAGATTTCTTAATCTTTTTTAGAATATGGTTGACTACTCGAAGTTCTTATTTTTGAAATTATATTTTCATGCTATACATTCTGTGCTCTGTTATAATATTTTATATATATTGCATCTAGATATAACGAGAGCTGTACAATGGACGACCTGAAACGTAAAATAGCCAATCTGAGAACGTGTTACTTGCGGGAATTCAAAAAAGTAATGGACGCAAAGAGATATGGTGGAATATACGAGCCCAGTTTGTGGTATTACAAGTAAGAGACCCTGCTACTATATCTATTACTATAGTAGGTAGTACGTATATAATATAATTACAAACGTATGTCAATACGCAGTGTGATATAATATTAATATACCTGTAGTAGTGTTGAGGGTATATTAGGTACTTCTGAAAAGTAATAGAATCACGTTACTGTATAAATATTGAAATAAAGTAATTAAGTTAGGTACTTTTACGTTAATCTATCATAACACGCACATTGAATTCCATTGCTTTCCTCAATTAAAAGTAACATGTAACTGAGGATAATTAGGTCATATTATGAAATTAAAATTTTTTTTTTTTAACTTATGTTAAGTGCACTGATTATAGATAATATATTTGCCTAGGTGATTTGTGGACTTATAAATTATTATGTCCTCTAGTTACGATTATTATTAAGTCGCACGATTAGATTAACCTTATAGACACAATATCGCTTTGTGTCAACATTTGAACGAAGATGAGGATTTAAACGGATGCTTAGCAGTAATAGAAAATAACAAAAAGAATGATATTTAGAAACAGTGTGTGGGTGGTGAAATTTCAAATGTTAAAAGTTTTATGATTCGAATAATAGTACTAGTTATAGTACAATAATCATATATTATACAAATTGTATGAATGATATTATTTTTCATACAAATAAAAATACTTATTGACCAATATGCTTATAGTTAATATACTTTTATACATAAATATCAATGTTTTACGTTTCATGTCAACAATAAACCCATATTTAATATGATAACCACCCCTAAAGTGCATATATGGTTATTTCAGCATTTGCGGGGGGAATTTAAATACAATATTATCAACTGTTTTGTTACCACCCACACTGTTGAGTATACACATGGTGAAAAATATCGAACTCGTATTGTTACACGTGTGTTATACACTGCTTAGACTATAGTAATAAATATCGATAACCGTGTTATAGATCCTTAGAGTTCCTAAACGACCAGCATCACAGCGAAGACAGAGTGCGGTTGGGCCGCAGTTATCCGGATAACAGTGACGAAGATAACGAGTCAAACGAGGTACTAGTTACTATAAACTGAGCCATAATTATTTATATACATACTATTTATGTATGTATGTATATGTACATTTATAGAAACAGCTTTTTATTTCTGTAAGAATTACATACATACCTAATTATTAGAAATATTAAAAAAGTACCTATCGTGAGGACGACCGTGTAGTATCTCTCTCACAGTCCCTTCCTTTTATTATTTATTTAATAATAGTAATATATTATATCGATATAGCAGTACATTTATTATTTTTTGGTGATCTTTGCTAGTTATGTATAGTAGGTTAGATGTGTATAGCGGTGAGGTTGATCTATACATCTGTATACCTATGTACAAATAATATAGTGATTGTGATAGGCGATATAGTGATATGCATACAAAAATTAGTTTTAGCTAGGTAGTACCGTTATATTATTTCTAAATGGGAAACTTTAATTAATAAAAAAAAAAAAAAAAAGCTAGTACAAAATAATAATAATTAAGTTTTCAAACATACTCTCATATAAATCAAGAAGGTTTGTTATCTGTAGAACATCGACAATTATTTTGAAGACGATAAATCAATTAAATCATAAACCTGATACTTTGAGTAATCGAATAACTAACATAATTTATCATATTATTCGAACATAATATTATGATAAACATGGTATAAATCATCATGTAGTTACAAGAAATGTAAAAGTAATATCACCAGACAGTTTTAAACACTAATAATTGATTCACAGAAATCTGTATGTTGATCACTCGTGTATGCGTTTGCTACCGACAAAAATCATTTATCCTTTTTTAATTTAATCCATCGTAATATTGTATGTAAATGTATTTAGCTATGAGCATTCGATCACGACGCAATTGGTCCTAATAATTATATACAGATGACATGCATCTCGTCAGCATAATATAATATACAGCCCTAATACATATATAATAATTTAGAAAATGTGTTTTGCATGACTAGCTATATTATATGAATGATTTATAGTGACATAATTTTTTGACGTTACAGATTCTATATAATGTTATATTATGCTATTTTCTACCAATAAATTTAAATTAAAATATTACATTATATCTTGGTACTGACATTTATAATACAATATTATTCCACGTAATAAACAGTTTCTTGGCATATAAAATAATAAAATAATGTACATATCTATTATATTATTATTATTATATCATAACCGACATAGTGATAATCAAGGTATATTGTACAAAACAAAAATGTTACTAGGTTTACTCCGTCCGTATAATACTATAATATAATATGTACTGAGTATTCTGCAGTATATATTGCATCGATGAAACTTCCTAATTGTTAATACATTATTCCTATATCATTATTGTACTATACTGCATATTATACAGACTTTAACACTTAAGTATCTATAAGTTCACTTAAGCTTACACATACAATTATGATATTAGTAACTATTGGTACTATAGTATTTTACGATATTCAATATAATAGAAGGGTTGATAATAAAACTAATTCAGACATAAATGCTCAAGTATTAAAATTAGGCAATGTCAATTTTCTATAGTCGCTCCTTCGAACTTTCGCCGTTCCCTTGCCATTACCATTCATATTTATCCTATACGCATTATTTAAAAATTGTACAGAGTAATGTTTAATGTAGTTGGCTTATGAGTTATGATGACCAATTTACAATCGTAATCCACCTATAGTACCTATAATAATACATTAAAACATAATACCTATAAAACCTATATTAAATATAAAAAAAAGTTTCAAAATTGAATTCATCAGTACCTAATTCAATATTTGTGTCAAGGAAATTTTGTCTTTTTTGTCTTACAGTTAGGTACAACAATTTAATTTTCTACAAATTCGCAGAGTAAAATATATTAACGAAAATTACAGACGCATAACATCATGGTGTACGAGGACGTCGACGACCGAGCTGGTTCCGAGGACAAGGACTCGTGTTCCACCGAACCTGAGTACCTAGTACAGCAACCCTGTGCCGCAACCAGCAGCGGCTTGCAAACCATATTGAGTGGCAGCGGCGCAGATACCGTCAGGAGACCCAAGAGACGGCGGCGGGTGTTGGAAGTGTCGCCGGCGCAGAACGGGCCGTCCGCTAGGGCGCCGCCGCCATCGGACCGGTTTTCTGGTAGTGCCGGAGCAGCCGACTTTTACGAACCTCAAATATTGGGTGGCGTGGGCGGCGACCCTACCGATCCGCCGGTGGCAGACTACTACGACGGTTTTGGCCGGTACGCGGCCAACGAGCTCCGGCAGATGGACAGGCAGTCGGTGATCATCGCCAAGCGGCTGGTCAACGAAGTTCTGTTCCTGGGCCAGATGGGCATGTTAAATGTCAACACCAGGATCGAGACGCCTACGACCGGCCGACGGAAGAACGCGTCCTCGTCGACTACGTGCAAGTCGGAATCTCATAATCGTCGGCACCAGGAAGACAACGACGATGACAACGACTGCGAAGACGGAGGCGGACGGGAATCGTCGTCGTCGCCGATGCCGCCCGTCGAGTTCATGGAGACTTCGTGATACGCCGCGGAAAGTGGTCGGCCGATTGACGATCGATCATCATCTGCGCACTGCAAGTAGCCGATAACCCATCTCCCCACTGAAGTCTACGAAGACCGAACTCGGTTTGATGACGACGATTGACGTCTTCATCTACAACGAATCCAAACAATCAGTCTGTGTTCAATACGGAGCGTAAATATATGTATTATGTAAAATTTATTTTTATTTTTTAAATTATTCCATAATGTATAAAATAGTTGTTTTATAAGACTGCTTGATATTCTACGAGTGGGTTCGTGTATTGGCATCGTATACGATGTGTTTTTATGTTCTACAATTATTTGAGTTCAATTTTTTTTTTAATTTTAAATATATTGTTTTCGGAGTTATTTGTAATTTGGACGATTCCTCATAATAACAGCTTAAAGAGTTAATTATAATACTATATTATGTTGTATTTATTATAAGCTTTAACTTTAAGAGTTACTTTAAATGTGCAGATTCGTTAATTAATATCTATATGTAATTCAACGTTTCTATTATACATATTGACTTTACTCAAATTACCCGAGCTTATTATTTCCATAACTTTTTCAGTCACCGAGGAACTACATTGATATACTATGGTCGTAGAGTGGTCGACATCCCAGTGGAACTCACACATCAGACCCAACTACCGTAATTGACGTTTATAAATGTATATTGAAACTTCCAAATGCCGAAAATCTCAGTTGCTGAAATTTTGTCCACTAATCAAAGGGTTTAGCTATTGTTATTGATTCTCAACTATATTCTCCATATTCTGAGGTGTCCATTATGATGTGAGGTTTCACCGTATTATATATATATATATTTTTTCATTGATCGTTAAGCCCGGCAACTATGGCCATTAGCTGTTTTTGTTGGTTTGTAGGGTCCTGTTAGTTTGTAAACAGGTGTGTGTAGTTTTGGTAGATTTTTTAGTTGGCACCCTTGGGTATCTGCCATGCCCAGTGGGGGATGGCAGCACTTCTCTCCGGACACCGTGACTTGCCTGAAGAAAAATGCCACCCGTGAACCGAGGTTTGAACCAGCGTCGGTGTGCGTCACAATCGACACCTTAGTCCACTCGGCCACTCCGTCCCCCCTTTAAATATTTTATATGATATGTATAATATATAATTTTATACATCACTATAATATACTACGCAAGTAAAACGTGTATGGTGCACCTACACATAAAATAACCGATTCATTTCAGGATTACCTACTCCTGTGAGGGTCACTGTTGGGTGTCGCGTGTTGGACGGTAATTATGCATAATATTATATAATATTTATAAATAAACGCCAAACTTTCGCCGTTACGAATAACGCAACTAACTTTGTACATATTGTTATTTGTTCAACACGCGCGTGCGACTTGCACCTGGAATATATAATTACTGCACGTCGTAAATTTATGTTTAATAGTAGTTTGAAAAATTAATTTTTAAGTTTGCGTACGATTTTTTGTATAATATTTACCTATAGATACTATATATTATGTAGATGATGACCTTATAGACGTAAAATAGTTATTTATTATTAACAGGTACCTATATTGTAACAAATAAGCGTTGTTCCTATACATGACGTATTACATTATACGCGTATTTGTGAAACTCGAGGTTGAATTTTTGTGGTCCACAAATTGAAACCGAAATTTGCTCGGTCCACTACAACTGAAAGTTTAACAATCGCAAAATGAAGTATTGTATACGACGAAGCGAGTCGACAAAAACATTAGGTGCCTAACTGGTAAATTCACAGAGACGACGTTCAGTGAGTATTTTTATACCTACACCTCGTGACACGGATTATTTGCACACATTTTCAGAGAACCTCTCTGCTGTACTTTTTTTCAGCCATTTATAAACGTGACAGTTAGACGCTATAAGGTTAGTTTGGTAACATTATCGCCGTGCCACTAAAATGGAAAAAAATATACAGTCCACTGACACACTTTCATGTGAACAAAAACACACATAATATATGATTACACATTTACTACCAACGAACCTTTATTTTAATCCTCAGACAAAAAAAGGCCTTAAATTTGAGAATGAGCAAAAAAGTTTTACCCGAGTTAATAGGTAACTATCCTGTAAGTTATAGCATATATTTTTTTATACATATTTATTATCTGCATATATTATTATTTCTTTTTTCGAATGGCACTATGTCCAGGAGTAGGCTTGAAGGCCTATTTGGGCACCCTTAGGTTTCTGCCATGCCCGGTTGGTGGATGGTGATCTCGCCGTCTAGACTACAGTTGCCTGCCCAGAGAGTGATGCCGCCCGTGTCCGGGATTCGAACCGGTGACGGTGCTCGTTACACCCGACTCCGTACTCCGCTCGGCTCCTCCGTCCCCCAAATTATATATTATTATAATTATTTACTTTTTTTTTTTACTATTAATAATTAATAAGATAGTAATATCGTGATACTATATTATATCGCTCAATTACATAAATATACGTGTATAGTTTTTTTAAATTACAGTTATTATATTTCAAAATGTAGAAGACACATGGGGAGTTGGCATGGGTCGACAGAGATTCTTGACCCGCTCCTCCCCACAGGGTTGGTGACCGAATCAAACAAGGGGCAGAGCCCTCTAGTTACTAATAATTAAATATCTGCGTTCATTCATGTCTGCGCAAGTACAAGGTTTAATTGTTTGATTAATAATATAAAAGTTTATAGGTGTATGTGTTTTTAATCAATGAAGGGGCTTTTAATTTCATGTCTTCATGGGTGGTATCACGCCATATAGTATATGTATGGGGGATTCTTCCATCATTGTTAATTTATAACATTATATTAAATGAATGCCATATTTGTCTATAAATGTAACAATTAATATAGACAATTCAGGGATTGAAGTGAAGTTAACAGTGATGTACAAAAAAACAATTTAATTTAATCAATGTTGGAAACCCATTTGAGCTTTAGACCAACAATATATTACGTGACATTTATTCAAGAGCACAACAATTATAATATTCTGAACAGTGGAAAACATGCAATTGCTATGAGAAATACATATACAAGCATAACATTTTTTTTTTATCATTTTTGTTAATCATATTTTACTTTTCGTAATTATAACAAAAATAAACTAACTACCAGGTAGTTACTACCTATATAATAATTACCTTTTTATAGTGAATGTATGTATGTATGTAATACCTAGCCATGGTATGTAATATTTAGTATTTACTTATATACTATAGTTATGCACATTATGGTTACACATAATATATGTGTTTTTATAATAGGATTTGTCTCGGATTGACTAAATACTCAACAAACATACCTACCCAAATATCATTCGATGTTCGTCAGAACACCTATATAATACATATTAAATAATATTCAATAATAATATTCTGTGCTGCGATTTTCGAATCAAATGAATCGGTAATATTGACATTTTTGCAAAACGGTAGCCTCCGTATTAGATTTGGAAACTCCAAGAAAAACCTTCATAAAATATTCTAGTGATATATAATACATATTAATAGTACAGCAACTGTGCATTATCGTCACTTCGTCTGTTCTTCCTATAATATAGTAATGTACATATTCTATGCGAAGATCGCGTAGGTATACGGTAAACTATTATAGTTCTGTTATGTTATTATATATAGTATTGTACAATTGTAGTATAGGGAGAGTTTGGGGGGGGGGGGAAGAGAACTGATGTTACGGTACATTAGATATTACTTATTAGAATAAGAAACCATAGGATTTATTTGTAAACGAAAATTGATCAGACTTCCGCTGAATGCGTATGATTAAACGGAATCTGATGGCTTCTGCATAATATAATGTTGGTTGCTGTGTCGTTTGAATAAAAAATAAATCATATTATTTGACAGTGAACTCGTTTTAATATAAATAATATAATTAGAGTTTGTTCAGGTTGATTATTTTTTTTTTTTTGCAATGTGATGACATTCATCTTCCCTTGTTGTCACTCGGCCGTCATGATGCAGATACAAGGTTCTCATTATATCTGGACTAGATATTTTAATTTTCTCTGGCTCTCGATACCTATCACACAGAAAAATGGTGATAACTTCGGAAGGAATCAAGCACAGACCAACCAAAAGTACTAAAAACGAATGTTCTGGGTGGTTCAAGCACGACTAGATAAAATAATGATAACTGTAATATGTCAAATGGAAGAGTCAATGGTATCGATAGCAAACGAAATCTCCGAAATTGGAAATGTGGTGTATCACATGGTCCTTGGGCCTTGGGAATCGGGATATAATGACCTGGGTCCTGGGCACAAAGGTTTTGGCCTACATATGACTATAACATTATACAATAGCGGCTTTTGGAATCTGAGAAACGACATTTAAAAACGATTGATTTAATATAGGTATATTGCCAATAATTATTTATAACTCAAATTACTTATCGAGTTACAACGGTGGTTGTCTATACTAACTACACCGTCGTCAATTTACAGTTACATGTATAAACGTGACATACCATAGTTGATAATTTGCAGGTCATGTACGACGATCAGTAATAATTATTACTGAAACGATCAACGTGGAAGACCTGAAGTCTGTTGTGGGAGTAGGATCTTCAAGCGGTTTCTAAAATAAAAACATGTAAGGTTTAAAATAGTTTGAGAAAGGAGGTGAGTGGGCAGACATCCCGTGCGGACTTTTACCACTCCAATAACATACACCTCAACTAGTAAGATATATCATATAATATACTATATAGATTCAGATTTCTATAGTTATACATACGTAAACGATTATTATATAACAATATGAGTAGGTACTTATATATATGACGTATAAAGGTATTTGATTTGTATTAGGGACACAGCTAGTGAGAATAGCGATCAGCGGGTACCAATAAATAATTTTATCTCAATTTTGTAGTTAATAATATTATATTGAAATATTATTGTATATGTAGTACACCGTATATACATTTTAAAAAGCATTCTCGAAACGACTAATGTTT